ATGTGGGCTTTTCTCAATCGTTGGGGAGCCAACCAGAAGGATGGGGACAGTGGTCTTTGAGATCAGGAGCACCAAGTGAGAACCAGGTTTGGGGAGGATGGTGCGTCTGGGGAGAGGCACGCTGAGTTGGAGGGGGTGATGGAGCTTCCAAGTGGCTAAGTCAAAAGGATCTTGAGTCAAGCTGGATCTCTGGGTCTAGAGCTCCAGGGCAAGGTCTGGAATGGACATGAGATGTGGAGCCACTGATGTACACTGATAATCGGGAAGAAGTGCCGAGGGCCTGCTGACTGTGCCTCCTCCCTTTTTAGAAGCCACCTCCTCCTGGCCCCTGCTGATCACCTCTTAGAGACACACTCTCTGAGAAAACCCAAGTGCAAAGGTTATGTGTGCATACCTACAGCATCTGTTAAGCATCTTAAATCATTTCCAACAAAGTGTGTGTGTTCTTGGTTCTGGAAGAATTCATTTAACAATGGAAGCTACCCAGCAACAACCAGAGTGCTTCAAGTCCCCATCAGCCTTGGTTCTTCAAGAGGCTGGAAAGTCAGACTATTTTCCTATAAAAGAATTCTCAGCACAAAGTTCCCAAGAAGGCAGACTATGAGGTGCGTGCCTCCTGCCTGGGCACAGAGCCTCATGGGGAGGGCATTGTCCTCTGTGCCCAGATTCCACCCAGCACTAAGCATACTTGTGAGTCTCCAGACCCACGGGGATCACCCACTCTCCTGCCATCTGCTGGAGGATGCCTTGAGAGGAAACATTTTACCTCAGTTGATAAAGAGGTTCCAAAATCCACCCACCTCATCCAGAGTTAAGGTTGGCTGGGCTTGAACTTGGCAACATCTGATGGATGACCCACAGAGGTCCTTTCCACCGCTGAAACTCGGGACTTAATTGTTGCCTTTGTCCTTTCTCTGAGGCAGACAGGGAAATGCTTGTCAATGCAATTTGCTCTATACTATGTACATCGACCTGCCTTCAAACAAACCTTTGAAAGATCTATTCCTTGCTCAGGGCATTGAGGATTCAGTGATGAGCTCAATCTGGCCATGCCCTCAAGGGACTCACAGTCCAGTGGCCACCTTGACTAACGGTTCATTTTGTTTTCCACAAGTTCTTTTGAATCCTCCACCCTCTGTAAGGTAATTTGCAACCTAGTCAGTCAATAAAAGTATTCTTTAAATGCTTTTAGCGTATCTAAAAACACATCCGCTCTCCAGTGTCCCCACAGTGGTGCCCAGAGGCCTATAGGAGCTGTCAGTAGGGCTCATATTCACAAGGCTTTCTCTGCATCCAATTATTTCTTCTCCAAATAAACCAGGTCGGTAATATGTATAACCAACACTCACCAGCAAGAGGGTAGATGTATTTAGAAAACCACTGCATAAAGCAAGCAAGCAAAAACATGTGCCCTTGAGTGTGTATTCTGAATCCAGGAAAATGCATAAGACAAATCAAATACAGAGGAAGAAACTGAAAGGCACAGCCTATAAGGAATGAGGCGGGTTGGGGGGCACAGCTAAAGGACCATACTGGAGGCCCCAAAGACAGCTTGTTTGAGCTTGTTTGAGAGGCTGAACTTCCTCCAGAGAAGCGGGGAGCAGTTTCAAGAAGTGAGAAGACAAGGACTCAGTGGCAGCTGAATTCTGGAGCACGTTGGAAAGTGAGTCAGGAAATGCCTGCCCCCGACTCTTTTTTTTTCTTTATTTTCCCCCTTATTTTATCTCTAGTCATTATATATGACAAACAGGAAGGTGGCTGGGAAACTGTTTGTCCGTGCTCTACACTTGGATAACTTAAAAATTAGGTAAAGCCTAAAATGATATCACATTGTAATAAGAATAACAGGACTTCCTGTGTTCAGCTGGGGCCATGCTGAAACCAGAAGCAGTAGTCTTGAATATAGCTGGATCCGAAGGATAAGGCTACATGTAATTTGGAAAACATCTTGGTCCTTAAGCAGAGGCTACCCTGGGTGCCTGAGTGAGAACTTTCCAACAGGCCCTACCTTATGATAGAAGACTTCAAAAAGGTCCACGAGCTGGCACCAAGGGCCAGCCCAAGGGTATTCCCTGTCAGTGTGTTTACCCAAGCCCCACTGACTGGCTTCACCGAATCAGACACTGACTGTGAGTCAGGGATCTTGCCCAAGGCCATAAGCATGAGGTTACTGTCGGATAAAAAAAAATTTTGGAGCCTGACAGTCCTCAAATAGGATCTCAGATACACCATTAACAGCTGCCTGACCTTGGGCAAGTGATTTAACCTCTGGAGACTCTGTTTTCCCATCTGCAAAATGAGGATGATGATAACTGCCACACAGGGCTATTGATGCGGACTAGGAAGGTAACAAATGCACTGACAAGTGCCTGGCACATAGTAGGTGATTAAGAAATATTAGCTGGCCGGGCACAGTGGCTCATGCCTGTAATCCCAGCACTTTGGGAGGCTGAGGGCAGATCACTTGAGGTTGGGAGTTCGGGGCCAGCCTGGCCAACATAGCAAAACCCCACCCAACTAAAAACGTAAAAATTAGCAGGGCAAGATGGCACACACCTGAGGCAGGAGAATCACTTGAGCCTGGGAGGCAGAGGTTACAGTAAGCCAAGATCACACCACTACACTCTAGCCTTGGTGACAGAACAAGACTCTAGTCTCAAAAAACAAAAAATAAAAATAAAAATATTAGCTGTTGTTCCTTCCCTCATAGAAAAGGAAGCCAAGAAAGGAGGAAACTGGTGCTCCCTAGAGGCCCCTCACATTTGGAGGATGACATACTCAGCTCAGAGACACTCGCACCATCCATGTGTGCTGCCACGCTGGCTCAGGGTGCACTGCTGGCCACAGGAAGACACCACCATCCTCTCAGGTGAAGCCACTCCAGTGTGCCTCCAACAGGTATACCCCACATCTGACTCCTCCTGATGACACAGAGCCCTGGGTTCCAGCTGCCCCAGTAATGCCAATGTGCCTACCAGTATGGAATGCCCTATGGGCGCCATATACTAGTTAGTCTGAAGTTAACTCCAGCCCTGAAGAATGAGTCAAGAGGGACAGACAGGGGACCCCTGAGGGTGGGTGGGGACTCAGGGAAAGAAAAGAAAACAGGTTAGGAATGTAAAAGCAGAGCACTTCTTTTGAAGACTGGCAACAGAGAAATACTGGCTGTCCAATTTGAAGGATTCATCAGAAAAGTAAAACCATCATCAGACGTTTGACTTCAGGGGCACATGGACTGCATTGTTCCTTTGGAACAAAGAAAACTAAACTGTGAATAACCATAGAGAAGTCAGCAAACCCCAGAGAATCCAAACTTATCAAGGATCAAGGCAGCCTCGCACAGGCTCTGAAAACAGGAGGCAGCGGTCATGTCCCTTCTAATTACCAACACAACCACCTGCACCCCACGGTAAATGGACAGTTACTGCACATCCCCAGCTGGCCTCTGTGGACATGCAGCTAATAAGATGTGAGTTCATGGAGGAAAATCTATAAAAAGCGGACTCGCAAGTAGTTACAATCTGATACTATCTGCGCAATTATTAAAATAAGCCACCCAAGACTATTTCAGCCATATTAGCAAAGAACTAATGAGGAAACAGAGATCATCAGAGAATGAATTACCTATATAATAACCTGCATCTTCCACAGTGAAGCCATTAGAAATTGATCAGCTGATTTAGAAACAGCTGAAGGCCATAGCCCTGATCAAAGTTTGCACCAGAAACACATTCTGAGTCAGCTGTCAGTGAATATAGCACCCTGGAGTCACACAGGCCACCCTGATCAGTGCTCCTGAAAGGACATATGGGCAGAGGGGATTCTTCAGGAAAGCTAGGGTGTGTGACTCCCATCCAATGCCTGCAGCATGGAGGAGGCCAGGGCCAGACAGGGCATAGTGATGAAGAGCAGGCCAGGCCACCATGATCCCTGGTGTTACCATTCCTCCCTGGGGCCAAACTGGTGGGATGTCAGTCATGAGAGAGACTTCCTGTTTACCTCCTTTACATGGGTACACTTATCTCTACACATATTGGTTGCACACACGAACATACTTACACACACACAAACACACATGCACATAAAACTCACACACCACTCACATGCACTCATATACAGATATATGCATACTTTCATACATACACACCCAAACATATACATACACAAACTCACACATACACACTCATGCACACACATACATATACACTCACATGCACACATAAAATTTACATGCACACCCTTGTACATACACTCAGCACATACAGTTCACACATAGACACGAAATCTCACAAACACACTTGCACATGCACACCTACACACATACACACACTCATGCATATACTTACACATGCACATACACACACAAATACATACACTTGCACATGCATGCACATACCTGTCACACACTAAAACATATCCATATACATATATACACACACCTTCACACAGGCACATCCACACACATGCATGTTCATATACTCACACACACAACTCATACACAAACATAGATACACCATAAACACAGACATACACACACAACTGGATTCACACTCACACACCTGTGCACACCCTGCATACACACTCTTGCTCACACTCATGCACACCCTTACTATCCTGCATGAAATTCAGCCTTCCTCCCCTGCTCATTCCTTTGCCCCACCCCCACTGCATCCCAATTCCTAACCTGCCCTAATTGCTCTAGCCCCTGGCTCCCAATGGCTGCCTCACCCCACCCACTGCCTGCTTCACCTCACCCACTCCCCTCTGACTTTTGACTTCCTCATGGACCCAGGTCAGAATTCCTCCTCTGGTTCCCACCTGCCAGGTGAGCACCCTGCTAGGTCAAGTTCGACTCTGAGCTCCTGCCTGAGCTAGGTGGAGCACCAGGATTCACAATGGCCCCCCAGGTTGGAATTGAACCCAAAAGGATCACGCTGACCTTTCCCAAAGGGCTAGAGGCTCAGTCCAGGCCATGCTCGTCACATTTCTAGGGCCCTTACCTCATTCACAAAGACCCAGTGGCTGTCCTTGGAAGCCAGATTGGTCTCCACGGCCTGCAGAGAGAAAAAGAACCAACATGAACGGAAGGAAGACAGAAGCTGGCAGACACAGGATGATTGCCGAGACAGAGTTTTATAAACATTGTTCTTGCAGAATATTTTCTTCACAAAACATGCCATCTCCCTGGGGCCTGCTCTGGCTGCCTTAGCTGCAAGAAGCTTCATCTGAACACAGACATCTGATTTCCTGCTCTCCCTCCATGCTCTCCTGCACCAGCCCAGAGCAAGATTAGACGCTCTGGTTCCTACAGGCAGCACAGGGCCACAGGCACAGGCACAGCCTTCCTTCCCTAGTAATGCCTGCTAACACCTTTCTGCAGGGGAGCTTTGGGGATGAGTGTTATCATTACTCCAGGTTACAGAATCAGGAAACTGGAATGAGGGATTTGTGGGGGCTTGTCTAGTCCAGCCGTACTGAGTGGCATTCAGGTAGATGGCAGGTCACAGCAGCTCGGGGGCTCCAAGCTGCCTTCAGTTCTTTAGGATCTGTAGAACAAAGCTCTTTCCAGCTCCTGGGCTATAACCCCATCCGATAACTCTCCATTACAGTGTTTTGATCTGTTTCGTTATGGCACTTGCCATCCTTGTGCTTGAATGGCTATCAGTTTATTTATTTTTTATTGTCTGTCTCCTCTGCCAGAATGGGGGCTCCATTATGTGAAAGGCCACATCTTGTAGGTCACAGCTGTGTCCCAATAGCTGTAACCAGCACACAGCAGGTATTCAGTAAACATTGTTGATTATGCAAATGAAGGGAAAGGTTAAGGTAGACAGGACCCAGTTAACTATTTTGTTTCCTGTATGTGTTTATGAGTGCTTTCCCCTCCTTCAATTGGAAAGCCAACAGATTGGAAGAATTGGAAGGGACTGATGGTTTCCAAGCATGTCCCGTATGAAGACATCCCGTGAGCAGGTGCTAAGTGCTTGCTGAGCCTGGGCACTGTGCCAGGCCGACTATGAACGTGGACAAGAGCTATCAGATTGGAGTCCTGTTTTTTTGTTTGTAATGTCATTTTATTATTCCTTTTATTGAAAAAAATGCAGAAAAATAAAAATGCTCAGCATCCCAACATCTTGTCCCATTTAAAAAGTATGCTGCCCTAGTGAAAATCCTCCCTTTATCCCTCCAAATGTACCTTCCTTTTTTTTTTTTTTTTTTATTTGAGACAGAGATTCGCTCTTGTTACCCAGGCTGGAGTGCAATGGCGCGATCTCGGCTCACCGGAACCTCAGCCTCCTGGGTTCAGGCAATTCTCTTGCCTCAGCCTCGTGAGTTGCTGGGATCACAGGAACGCACCACCACGCCCAGCTAATTTTTTGTATTTTTAGTAGAGACGGGGTTTCACCATGTTGACCAGGATGGTCTTGATCTCTTGACCTCGTGATCCACCCGCCTCGGCCTCCCAAAGTGCTCACAGGCTTGAGCCACCGCACCCGGCCCAAATGTACCTTCTAAATGTTGTTTGAGGTGTCCCCTTCTAGAAGATTTTACAGTTACCTCTGCAAGTAAATGGCTACAGATAGATATCAAACAAGTGTTTTCATTAAAATCAGATCATGAAATATACATCCAGTTAAGACTTTAGTTTTTGATGTATCAGTGTAACATGAATATCTTTCCTCATCAGTACATAGAGATCTGACTCACTCCCAACAAATGAGGCATGGAGGTGTCAGGGCCTGTGCCCACGACCCCACCAGTGGCCCTAGGTCTGCAAATTGTCATGCACGGGGTCCTGTTAGATCCTCACTACATTAAAATGGACCTATTTGCTGGAGAACATACAAGAATGTGCTAATAGAGCCATGGAAGTACCCAAGTGATGCTAGCACCACAATCCTTTACAGACAACACCCCACAGGACACCAAGGGCAGCTCAGGCGCCTTTCCCGGGCCATGTCTCCAGCCATACAGCCATATGTGAGGGCATCAGCCCTGGTGTCTGAACTGGAAGCGGACTGCCTCCACCCAGCCGTCATGTAACCACTCTGGTCTCTGTTTGTTTATTTGTAAATTGCAGAATACACTCGCCCCTTCCTGTCTGCCAAAGCATATATTTTTCAGTCCTTAGTCTCAGAAAGAGAGAAACACAGAGAATGGCGTCCACATTCATCCAAGCCTTTCCCAGGAAGCAGTGAGAGGAAAGTGGTCACTTTCTCCTTTTGCGGTGTCCAGCCTTGCTCCCTGACTTGCTCACATTCTAGCTTGCATCCAGGGAGTCTCTTGATCCCCGCAAGCCCTCCATGCTCTTCCTGAGCTATGGCCCCATGAATCTTCCCTTCCCAAAGATAATGACTTATGTCTAAAAATGGCTTGGCCACTCCTCCCCAACCTCGGGAAAAAAGGCTCTAGGTGCCCTCTCTTGCACTGGAAAGAAAGGAGGCTCCAAGAGACACTAAGCCGTGTACCTGGCTATGCTACAAGGCCATATCCTGAAGACACTTTCTACCCTTTCTGCAAACTCAGTTAACCGGGCTCTCTCCAGAGAAGCTGCAAGGGCTAATGAGCCAAAGTTCAAAGAAGCCTTCAGTCAGGGTAGAGAAAGGAGGGCACTTCAGGGTGGAGTCTCAGCCGCCCAGTCCAGAGTCTCTGTCCTCTCAACACGCAGACTCTCAGGGGAGGTCTTCAAAAGCCTGGAAGCACTGGTGAAGACGTGGAGGGAGAAGTGGAGATGGGGTGGGCTGAGAATGCTCTGAGCAAATTGCTGGGATCTAACCACCTTGATTCCCAACATTTTCTTAACACTCATGTAGAGGACACTGGCAATGCTCTTATTAAATGTGCACAGATGCAAATCTGGGAGGATGTCATAACATCTCAGAGGCTGGAACACTGAACTGAATCTAAAGACATGTAGTTTAGCAAGGCCGATCTCAAAGTCCTAAACTTTTCCAGGAGCAAAAGGGCAAATGGGGAAATGAAGTTTGAAAGCAATACCCTTGAGGAAAAACTAAAGGGGATTGCCTCCACCCAGCTGTCATTTAACCACTCTGGTCTCGTTTGTTCATTCATATAATGTAGGTAACACTTGCCCCTTCCTGTCTGCCAAGGTATGTAAAAGCACATCACTGGGCTCTAGCTCACCTCTACCTCAACTCATGGAAAAGAGGGTGTGGGAGGAGTCTGTTCCACCCCTTGAGAGGTTGACCTAACCAGATCGCCCCACTTGATGAAGGATAATGCACACTATAGGCCGGCCATGGAGAGGGACAGTTAAAGTGATGAGGAATGCTTAGAGATGGGACAGTATAGGTGTCTTTAAATTGTCATGTGCAAGAGAGACAAATTGCTCTGTGCGTCCTCTGAGTGCTGACTTAGAGCCAATGGCTTCCATAATCAGAGAGGCAGATATCGATTGAATATAGGAGACAACTTTCTGACTTTCCAAGTCATTCAAGATGAAATGGGTGCCTCAGGAGTAGCAAGGTCCCATCCCAGGAAGTACCTGAGCAGGTAAGCAGTGCCCTATTTACAGTGACATGTATCTAAGGTTGACCATTTGTGAGAGGTAAAGCTTTATCATGCACTGACATTCTTCAGCAATGATTCTCCAGTCTGACTGCATTTAAGAACACATAGACACAGGGAGGGGAGCACTACACACTGGGGTCTGTTGGGGGGAAATAGGGGAGGGACAGTCGGGGGTGGGGAGTTGGGGAGAGATAGCATGGGGAGAAATGCCAGATATGGGGTGATGGGGAGAAGGCAGCAAATCACACTGCCACGAGTGTATCTATGCAACAATCTTGCATGTTCTTCACATGTACCCCAAAACCTAAAATGCAATTAAAAAACAAAAAGAGAATAGAAAAAAAAAGAATTTCCTATGGAGCTTTCAAAAAGAGGACCCCCCAGGCTCCACTGCAAGGGATCGTAATTCACTGGTAATTGTGATGTGCCTGAGATCTTGCGTTGTTTCAGAGCTCCAACCCTGCCTCTTGGCTTCAGGGGCTGGGAGTCCTGCTTCAGAATACGTAGTTCTATGAATCTGAAGGTCTGGGTATACCTGTACAGGTGAGCGGTTCTCTGCTTGTCCTGGAAGAAGGCAGCACAGCAGACAATCTGTCTGGCAAGCGGGAGCCTTGGCCACCCTAAGAAGCACTTCCATCTAGTAGTGGACTCACACAGGGAAGATATTGGTGGAGACAATTGATCAGAAAACCCCACAGGACAAGTGGCCAACGTTTCTGTCCTACTTTTCCTCCCCATTTAAGCATCAGCTAATTTGTTAAGCCTCTTTTCTCCACATGGAGATAAATAGTGCTTTTCTGCAGCCTTTTCCAGAGGGTGCAACTCACACAGAGGCTGAGATAGATGCAGAGAAGGAGAAGCTACAGCAGACTTAGCAGGCATACTGCCTGCACCCCATCACCCTACGCCACTCCGGCAATTACTGGAGGGCTGCCAGCTCTGTGGGAAGAGCCCTAAATGCTCACACCCCAGTGGGCAGTGTCTCTCCCAGCACCATTAATTCCCCTTCTAAGTGCTGCCCCTTCCCTTTTCCTCTCCAGCTACATCTGCAGCAGGTGGAGGCGAATCCTCCCTTTCGTCTGCAGAGTGAGAACACTATGGAGAGTTCCAGCAGGCAGGCAGAGTGCACTGGAATCCCAGTTCTGCCACTTTCTGGCTGAGTGCTCCTGGGTGAGACTTCTCACCTCTCTGAGCCGCAGTTTCCACGCCCATAAGGCATTTGAATACCAACAGTGCTACAGGGGGCTCTGCCCACAGTCCCTGCAAATCTTGTTAGCATTTTTCATTACACTGACTCAGCATGTGTGTTCACTCCTAACAGTCAATACCCCCGATTCAGGCTGCCGGAACCCTGCCTGGCACTCACAACACCTTGAATACATGCCCCTAACCAGGAACCCAGAGTGCCACGAATACAAATCCCAGCTGCCTTGCTCCCTAATGGGGACTTCTCCAGAGTGTGATCTCAGCTGTTTCCAGAATTCCTCTGCAGGGCAGAGCCAAAATCACCTTGCTTGGCTTC